AGTTAAAAGTCCCTTTTCCAACTAGTAATCTAGATAACAACTAGTCGTGCATTGCCCGATTACAGACGAAATACATCTAGTTTTTCCCCATAGGTGATGTTTGCCAAGGTGATGTTGTTGGAGTTATGAAGATTTGTGTTTATTCTTCGGTACCAGCGAAACTTGGAAAACTCGAAATATGCGAATCGCCTTGTCGTCACTATAGGCTAGAAGTTAACGCTTACATTCTCGTCAGAGGTGTGATGGACCTCAGCAACCAGGTGAAGATTGCACATGTGGAATATGAGTGTCAAAGCAATAACACCAATTACAGTATTCAAAGTAGACACTAAATTATGTCATTGAAGGTAGCTTTTAATTCAGTTTAAGTGTGAAATTTCGAGACCATTGGAAGTGAATAATAAATCTCACGATTCTCCGCAACTGGTGGTCCAGATTGTGCAAGTTGTCACAGCTTTCGCTCATGATATTTCTTACTCAGGCGCAGAATACTGTGCAAATTTGTTAAATCCACTAACATAACGAAAAGGTGGAATCGCTCCTCTCTAGCTGTTTGATTCATTGCTTAGATCTTTATTTTTATGACTCTCCAGGTACAACGTTTTTTTCTCATTTTAAATGAAGACGAAAAACAGTATCTGTTATTTAAGGTACTTTATTATACTAGCGAAACTGAGACCTATTTAGATAAGGGAACAGAGAGCTGAATTTGCTGTACACATCCTCTGAATTTACTATCTGACTCATACTGATTTTTCCTTTTCAGATAGCGATTATAACATGACGAAAGCATTATCTGCTCGACGAACGCATTAAAATTTGAACGCACTACGTTCTCCAAGAAAAGTCCGATTAAAACATAGTGGAATCAATCGTAGACAACAAAACAGTGACTGGAAAAATGTGGAACTAGTGCATACCGGTGCAGAATAGTATGCCGTGCGTACTGGTAGTGCCGGCCGTTTTTCAGTACTGTACTACGATGTTTTTTGTAGGAGAGTCGTTTTACATAAGAATCTTACACTTCCTTCCATTACAGATTTTCAAATCCTGTAGCGTCTTCTCGTACTCATGGACGATACAGTCCTTTGTGCACAAAAGAAGCACGTCTGATATACAGTCAGAACGTTGTATCAGTTGACAGTGGCAAGATTGGTACACAGCTATTGCATTCAAGACGCACGTCTTTAACGTGATCCAGACGGTATTTCGGACGTTTTCTGCAAGCTTCTCAAAAAAACAGACTAGTCTGGACGTAAATCTTGGCGCGACGTCTAGCCATACTAACGGACGACACGTCGGCTGTTACGACATAATTAGAGGCACATATGCAGTCAAGACGGGCAGCAGGACTGTCTTGCAACGCCACGACCGTCACCATACACTTGACTATACACAGATCACGCGATCCGATGGGCGTCATTTTAACTTTCTGCGCCTCTTCGTCCTTAACTGGCACCTTGACTGGCGTCGGGCAATACATCAGAACGTACTCTCGGACATTTCTAAAATATTATCGTTTTCCAGACTAGTCCGGACGGGGTTCTCGGATATTTCGGACTGGTCCGGACGCCAGTCAACCACTTTTTTTCTTTACCTGGGTCATAACTTTCATTTCACTTTTCTGAGCTAGTCTACTATTTTATAATAATAGTATAACCTAATAAAGTATAACCTTACAATTACAGTCAAGGAGATAATATAGTTCATTATGCAGGTCACCAGCAAAAGTCAAAAAAATCGTTTTCAAACTGTTCATCGACATATAGTTCAGATACATTCTACCCTTACGATCCTATTAGAGATGTCGCCCACAAAAAAATAATTCTTTATTTTTGAAGAAACAGGCAAATTAAACTATCTGACTCAATAAGAAGTAGGAGTTCCAGTCAACGGAATAAAAATTACAGGTTAAGAATTTGATGCTTATTTAAAAATGAATGTTATTATTGGTAACAGTTATTGTCAAGAAATTATGTTTTATTCTCGTATTTTCCTTTTTTTACTCATGTTAGTTTGTAGTTTGCCTAACATGAGCACTTGCATATCTCCACAAATTCAGAAGCTCTTTTTCTGAAAAATAGTTGAGCATAATGCGTAACTCGTGTACTCGAAGTTAGAGTACTAGTGGCACGTAAGTACTCTCGACCTTCTTTTTCATTTCGTTTATGGAAGCCGTTAAAACTATGAACGAATCAATCGGATCAAACGAATCATTTGTAGAGGTTGCTTCCCATTTTGCAAGCAAATTACTGGTTTCACACTTTCTACATTTCCCATTTTGCAAGCAAACATTTTAGCAAAAATTTTCCCATTTTGCCAGTAAATAATTAACAAAAAAAATGTATATATTAGAACGATAAATGTATAGCATAACAAAACAATATGTACTACTCCGCGTCTTTTCCACCACCGTTATGTATGAATCGGTAGGCAGTTTTTCTTACGTGTTCTAGATATTCATTTATATCAATTGCTCCGATGGTTAAAGCTGTTTTTGCCAAACATAAGGCAAAATCGTTCTCTTCATTTTCTTTCTAGCGCTTTTTAGAGGGTAAGCCAGTGTTGGATTCTAATATATCACGGCACCGCGCGAAATCTTCTTCTTTGCGAATTTGTTCTATCCAACGATATATGTTGGGATGAGCGGGTACACGTCTGCAGAAGCAAAAATAAGTTAATAAGCTATAGTCCAAGTACAGATTTCAAAGTATCTTACGAATTTTGCTTTCGATGATAGCCTTCAACAGCATTATTTGTCTTTGGACGTAAATCAAAAACATCGATCAAATTCCAGAATCCACGAAATATTCTTCTAGAAAAATAGACAATGATGACAGGAGTAATGGAGTTTCATTCTAATATATTCTATATATTACCTTCTACATATGTGTCACAAACATAATCAAAGAAAACTTGCACTGCAGTCATGCCACTTGGTATGAGATCGTGGGTATCAACAAAAACTGAAGGAATTTGATCTGGTGGAACAAGCGGCAAAGCAAATACATTTGCTATGCAAGTACAAACTTCTGAAAAACGGAAAATTGAATTGCTTAGATTAGTGAACAGTACGAAAAGCAACAATACCTCTATTATTTTTATAAATTCGTGTTCCATTTTTTTGTTTTGCTAGTTTTTTCCATAAATTTTTTGTGAAATGAAACTAACAACCTTTAGTTAAAGCATTTGGAAAATGCTGATTGAACGCTAATATGGCTACTTCTTCAAAGTCCAGCATGATTGTTTTGGGATTTAATGTTATTCCTCAAAAGAAATATATATATAATAACAATACATACTTCATATACCATATAGAAACGTCTTACCATTCGAATTTGCAAGAAACACCAAACCATTAATCATGGCATTATACGATTCCCGGTGTTTACTTGCCAATAAACAATAAACTGATGGTTTCATTGATAATTTATTATATATATGGATTGTATATACTTGGTAGAAGGGTTGCGGCGTTGTTTTGAATGTGCCATCAACATTGCAATGTTCAGATAGTGTCAGTTCCTTTAAAGCACGATCGGTCACAAAAATCAAAACCTTAACTGACATTGGCGTCACGTAACGTAAAAACTGGTTACCAGCATTATCCAGTTGCCATTCCGGTGGGATATCAACTTCTGATAATGTGTTTGGTAGTTTTGGTATGTAACTATTATGGAATCGATACAATGCTGATTTTACTGGATCAAAATGCATGTCTAGAGTAGGATCTGTCTTTAATAACAAAATAAGCTTAGTGATGGTGATAAACCTACTATTGATCTTCATCATCAAAGCTCCAAATATTTAACAAAACCCTTTTTAGATAAAACTATCCCCAGGAAGGATAAAACAGGAAGAGTAAAAGCAATGCTCCTCGATTGTCTGGTAGAAAAGCTTATTGCTTCGCATTTGATAGGATTCAAAGAGGTTTTCCACTTCTTAGCCTATTCTACAACACGGATAAGATCTCGAGCCAGCCTTTGAGAGGCAAGAACGAGATCGCTATCGTGCAAAAAAGAAGAGTATCATCAGCAAATAATCGAATTACACTTTCAATTCCTATCGGCAAATCATCAATGTAGATGAGAAATAATAAGGGTGCAAGGATCGAGCCTTGAGACACACCCTTGGAAATGCCTTGAGGAGCTGACGTCGATCATAGTCTGAATAGTTCGACCACGTAAATAGTTGGCTATCCAGGCCAGTGCTTTTCTTTTGACACCCTTCTTCTTCAGTTTAAATAATAATCCTTCATGGGAAACTTGATCAAAAGCTTTCTGAAAATCAAGGAGAACTGTTCTTACTACCTTATCGTTTTCCATCCCCGGGATCTTTTCTGTCACATCTAAAAGGAGATTTGTCGTACTATCTCCGGCTATAAAGTCTGATTGAAAGTGAGATAGTACCTTATTCTTAGTAAAATATTTGAACAATTGTTGGAAAACAATCTTTTCTGTTACTTTTGAAAGAGCTGGAAGCAAAGTGATTGGTCTATAATTTCTGGTATCCGTTCTTAACGGATCTATAAGAAAAACCATGGTAATAGTATACTGAAAACGCTGAAATACAAATCTATCAACTTTTTCATGGCAAGATAGCTCAAAATGTCCTTTTCAAAGTGGAGAGTACTATTGATTTCTAGTAGGAGTGGCATCAGATAGGAGTTTTAGTAGAGCGTATGAAAATTTTAAATTTTCTTCGAAAAATATTTTTTTCCTGAAAGAACAACCGTATTCTTTTGCTTCTTCTATCGCCAGTTTATAGCGCGTTTTCCAATTCAATGGATTGCTTCTTCTTTTATTCTTAATCTCTTTTTCTCTTTAAGAAAAATAAGCGATTTTATATATTTTATTTTGATGAGCTAACGAATAAACTTCAGTGTTGTAATTCAAATTACCAGTAGTAAGGACGAATGAGACTTACTCAGTGTGCTATCAACGAGATCCATAACCTGTATTATTCCACTTAGCCGATCTAATATAAGCTGACCTTTACCATACATGGTTGATAAAAATGAATTATACATATTGATATTATTAATGATATCCGTATAGTCGTTAAATTTCTCCCGCATTATCTCTTTCGCCTTCTTCGAATAATAATAGATACGTTCCTGAAATTAAATAATTATGTCGTAGGACAGAAACTTGGAAAAGGCCTTCTGAAGGTAGGACAAAAATCATAAATAATAATTCTACAGTGTTGTCTTCGAAGAGAAAGGATTATTACAAACCTTACTTACTAGGATTATTACAATCATTACTACATATCAATAGGGTTTCTTCTTTATGAAACTCTGAATAGGAAACATACAACATTATTGAATTATGGCTTACACCGCTCACATGTGATTGATTAATGCCAAATAACAAATGAGTTAGAGACGGACAATTCACATCTATATCACAAAAATACTTGATGATGAAGCACTTGTTTTTAGTGCACAAACTATAAATCTAAATAGTATGTAAAAAGAAATTGTTTTTACTTTCGACATATGACTTGATAACCAATAAAGTTTCTTCTAAAATGATCTCAACCTCTGTATCAACTGGCTCATATAAGTAGGATGAGAATCTCGTTTAGCGGCATTTGCATTTCATTAGCGAAGATTTAGAACTCTAGACATGCAAAATTCTAGAACTAGAATTTAAGACTTTTAAATTTTCGGAATTCAGTTGCTTTGTAGAACATCCACGTTAATGACGACGGTCAAAATATGTTGTATCATGCACTCCGTTAATAGATAATTCATATGCATATGATTGTTGAAAGGGTTCAAATCCCGAATGTTACGATATTTCTGTTTATGAATACGATATTTCTGTTTATGAATACGATATTTCTGTTTGCCATCGCACTGGTAAATCTAAAGATGGGAAACCGCGTCAGTTAATTGTGAAATTCTGTTCAAGATATGTTCGTGATTCATTTTTATCTGGAAATTCACAACTCTATGATGGTGTATTTTTAACAGAAGATTTAACTACACAAAATCTGAAATTATTAATGGAATCTAAAAAATATTTAGGTCCCAGACATATAATAGTGCGTAATGGAAAAATTTACAAACGAACACCCTATGGTCAAATAAACATACATATAAAGTCATTGTTACATTTACAATCATTCTCAAAGTATGAACCATTAAGCACCTAATATCTAATCACTGTAACGTGATTCATCACTGATGGTAAGACTTTTACTTTCTTTTCTTTTTCAAAAAAGCGTGTCATTTTACTTGTATACGGCATTGTTTGCTTATATGAACTGTCTAACGTATATGCACTATCTAAATATTCGTAGTCTCGAGGACTTTTTCTTTTTAATCTTTTGCTTTCTGCTGTT